AGTTGGAATTGGTAATTTAGTGAAGAAGGCTTATTACGATTCGAATGATCGACATTTGAAATATTAAAAAAAAGTTTAATTATTTGTTATCAATCGCATCTTCTCGGGCCTTTCCTCCAAGCTTGGAAAAACAAGTGGTTGTTTTTCGGCTTGTCGGAAAGGCCCGAGAAATTGCGATTGATTTGTTTTCACTTGGTATCGTGAAACGATATGGACACAAGGTTCAACTTACCTTTTCTTCCTTTGATCGTATTTGAATTATCGGTTTGTTTTATTAAGAAAGAAACCATTATTTAAAAAAAAAATCGCAAATACACCTGTTACATCAAAAGATTAAACTTTATTTTTAAAGAGGATATTTTTTAAAAATATATAGATGTACAAGTTTAAATTAAATACTGCTTAGGTACGATGAAACATTAAGACAATTTTTTAGCGACACTGACCTCCTGTTAGGGGACAATATTTGATTCTGAGGGAGAAGGGGGGGGGTGGCAAATTTTACCGAGTCAGATTGTTTATTTTCATGTCGGTGAAGGACAGATTATTTATTTCAAAAAAAAAAAAAATAATAAGGACTGATTATTTATTTCTTCTTCACTGAAAAAAGTCTGACAAGCATAAAAAAAAAGAAAAACATAAAAGTTGAAAACTCCCGGGGGGGGGGGTTGCTAGAACTAGTCTTGGACAGATTATTTATTTTCTTGCCCAGTCGAGGACAGATTATTTATTTTCAACACTTTCGAGGACAGATTATTTATTTCCAAAATCTGTAAGCCCCCCCCCCCCCCTTGAAATGAGCGTCCCCTAAGCTTGCAATGCTGTTACCTAAAGATTTGATTCGCTACTTTGCTTTCCATGTCCAACAAGTAGAATTAATGTTCTAAAAAACTGGCTGTTGATTACGTCAGATAAAATTAATTTTTAAATCCTCGTCCCATTTACTCCATTGAAAATGAGATATGTAAAAATAAATATTTTGTTTAAATATATACTGAAAATATATTGTATTTAGCCCGGACGATATTTGGCAGAAATTCGTAGATTTGAGAGCTTTGCTGAATGGTCTAAATGAAATCATTTTATATACTTGAATTACTTGAATGAAAGAATACCGTTTTCCGCCAGCACGCTGGAAAAGAAAAATACCTAGCCAAATTAATGTAAGGATACGTCTAATCTACGAGAAAAGAAAAGCAAAACAAAACAAAAAGAAAAGAAACGGTAAGAAAACAACACATAAAGAAAGTAAATTGGAAGAAAGAAAGTAAAGGATTGATTGTTGTTTTACGTCCCTTGCGAGAATTTTCATTTTCATTTTTTATTTTAGCTTATTTTTCTGCACAGAATACCGGATAAATATTCACGACGTCAAGCATGACGTCGCGATATTTTATGACGTCGTTCTTAAAAATGTTACATTTTGCGATATAAAAGCAATTATCCACATTTAAATTACGCAAAAACTAACCCGAAGACATATTGATTTTTCACATTGATTTATTTCAAATCAATTCTTTGTTAAAATACCAAAGGGAAAACAATTTCGTCTGCACCATTTAAAAGTTATTGATATTTTTTAAAACAAAATCTTGCCTCAAAATGAGCCGAAAACGACGTTTTTCTTATATAATTCAATAGAATAATGTCGAAAATGTAACGACAACAATGGCATGTTTGGGATTTAATTACACAAAAACGATGCAGACAAATTTTATAAAAATTTCAGAGAATATAAAACGAAGGTAGAGGATTCATATAACTAATTTTCATGGTATGTTTTCGGACAATTTTAAATCAAACCCGCGACCTACGTTAAGGACAGATGATACAATTTTAAAAAAAAACATATAAATAACAACTTTAGTCATATTTTTATGAGAAACACGAATTAATAGTTTAAAGGCAAAGATGTTCATTTATTTTTTATTCAGAATATCACAGTATGTACAATAAAGTGATAAAAATTGTATAGATATATAAAATTGATTGCCGAAAGGTAGAGACGTTACGTCAGGAATTGCTACTAAACGTTGTAACGCTTGAAATGACGTCGAAAGGGATTGTTCTGACGTACGCTGTATACGAATTTAGAGAATCACATTGATTTAACAGAAATCTGTAGACAGAACCTTGGCTAAAAGTATTTTCTTATTATTAAAGCAATTAATCGAGATGAAAATTATGTTGACTTTCTAATTTTTATGCCCCGCCATGAATATGACCGGGGCATAAAGTGTTTGTCATGTCCGTCTTCCGTCCTTCCATCTGTCTTTCCATCGCGCTTTGCGTTTAGCTCCGTTTAAAGCTCAGTTTCAAAGAAACTTTCCAAGATATTTTTTATCAAACTTCATACGCTGATAGATATTGATGAGAGCTATGCTACTGCATCAACATTTTTTGACCTTGATCTTTCCTTTGACCTCACTTTTATTAAAATAGTGGTTAGCTCAGTTTTAAAGATACCATTCAAGGTAGTGTAATGAAACCTCATACCGATGTAGGGCGAGTTCGATCACCGACTAATGGTTAGTTCGGTAAGTGCTACTGCGCATGCCCTTGATCGAACGGAGTTTAGTTTCACTTTGGTTTGTGAACATGGCCGAAATTTCTTCAATTATTAAAGTAAAAATACCTCTTTTGGAGTTTTTGCAGGATGACGATGATTATTTTTATTTCTTTGCTCGTCATGAAACAGATAGATATTGGTCTTTGTTCAGGAAGAGAGAATGGACTCCAAAAATTACGAGCTATATGGAAACGTTTGACGAATTTGGGCTTCCACAAAACATTGATGATTTTCGCTTACACTATCGTGTCAGTAGAAACTTGTTCGAAATTATTCTTCATGAAATTTATGGAAGTTTACTCTTAGGTGGGAGTGGGCCCTACAACGCCATAGAACCTCAAAAACAACTCCTTGTTTGTCTGTGGTATCTGTCTAATATGTCATCAATGCGAGAGTTAGCTCACATTTTCAATTTGTCGAAATCAACAGTTCATGCAGTTGTAATGAGAGTGTTGGATGCACTTCAAGAGTTGAGACCAAGAGTAAGTGATTCACTTAAATTTGAATAATTGTTGCTCACTCTCATAAGCATAAAGGTGTGATAATAGGAATTTTTTATGATAAACAACGGCTGCTGTGTGCTATACAATAAATAGATCGGCACAAGTCTTTGATGTATAATTTTGACGAGGTATAATATACATCATACGTGCTTTACTCATTCTATCAAATAATAATAATACATCTGTATCATTCATGGATTTCAACGAATGGGTATAGATTTTCAATTATTGATTTTAAATGTCAAGAACCTCTACTTTATATTGATTTTATACCTGATTTAATTAATGGTTCTATTTAAAGTTGATTTGTTGGCCAGATGCTGAGCGACAAAAAGAAATCTCTCGAAAAGTTGAGTACATGTGTGGGCTTCAAGGGGTAGTCGGATGTCTTGATGGAACTCACATAAGACTTTCATCGGCCCTCAATGGTGAAAGGGATTTTTACAATAGAAAAGGATTTCCATCCATTCAAGTACAGGTAAATAGCAAGTGTAAAAGTATATTGCTTGCATAAATGCTTTAATGTCATAACCTTGCGTTAGCTTAAACTTGGCAAAAAGTAATTACCGGGGTATTATCATAGTACCATTGTTTTTACATTTTCACCTTTGGACATCAATGATCATTTTGATAATCCCTTAAACATCACATGTACATGTATATCCATTTAACTTATTAAAAATTTCAGTGATTCTCCAAATAGATTACCTGAAAAAAATAAATTTAAGTATGTTGAAATAAACTCCATGCTTATTAAAATGAAGAGATTTTTTTAAGAGCAGTAAAATAAACATGTTTATATATATATATATTTTGCAGGCTGTAGTAGACCACCAGATGAAATTTACAAATATTTATGCTGGGTGGCCGGGCTGTGTCCATGATGCTCGCGTTTTGAGAAATTCATCGCTATACACAGAGGCTGAAGCCGGAAACCTTGTACTCGTTGATCACTATATTCTTGCTGACAGCGCGTATACTCTCAGGAACTGGTTAATAACCCCCTTTAAGAACTTGGGAAATCTTACCCCACAGCAAGTCCGTTTCAACAAGAGACTGTCAAGTGCATGACAAGTTGTTGAACGTGCTTTTGGCCATTAAAAGGACGTTTTCGTCGGTTGCAGGACATTCCTTTACACAGCTCCACAGAAATTTGCCAAATGATTTTGGCTGCCTGCATATTACACAACATGTGCATCATTAATGATGATGAAGTTGAAGATTACATCATGGGAGAACACTTACAGGATCCAAATGACTGCCAGTGTGATAATATTTACCAAAACGGACACAATGGCATTGTTAGGAGATTGCAGCTTGTCAACAGTTTTATCTGATTACACAAATGGCTGAATTATTGAAATTTTTTCAGTTGCAATATGCAAGTGATCATTTTGTAAGGTGTATTGCATGCATATTGTACAAGAGTGCTGTACAGCGTACAATAAACAAATTAAAATTTTATTACATTTTTGTGTCAAATGCAATAAAAGTTACAACTACCAAAAACAAAAAAAAAAACATGACTTCTCATTATTAATTTTGTATTTCCTTCAATATTAAAGGAAACATTATCTTGCAGATGTCCTCAGGATAAAGAATGAACAGCTTAAATTTGACATTTTATTAATATTCCAATCAGGATCAAAACAAAATAAAATGAATAACAAAACTTCAACATATTGCTATTTGGCACAATAGAAATCAAAACTTCAACCTACTGGTATTTGGCACAATATAAATCAAAACTTCAACGGTGAACCTATTGCTATTTGGCACAATAGAAACTAATCTGTAACACAGGAAAAAACCCATAACAGCTTAACTATCACAAAAGTTTATCTGGGATCAATGTCTGCACATCAACTTGTCACTTTACTGAAGTGTTCAAAAACAATTTTCAAAATATTTCAAAATACCGGTAAATGTGCACAAATGAAAATGATATCGAAAAAAATCAACATTTACTTATTGCAGCTTTGCCTTGTTTCAATTTCTCTTTCATAGAGATTTAAAAGTCTGTCTAGTCTTGCCATTTTATCCGTGTGCATCTGTTCCATTTTCTCATTGAATTCCTTGTTATGCCTCTCTAATACTTCCATTACGTCTGAACGCCTTTTTACTGTACTTTTCTTCCTTCTGGGTTGCTCTGTAGACTTGTTTTCTTTCGGCCCTTGTGTCTCCGCTTTCTTTTCCAATGTGTCTAATGTGACCGTTGGTTTTGTGCTTTCTTTAGTACCATACATTTCATCAAACTGTTCTTTTTGCCTAAAATGTTTCCTTTCAGTTCCAGTTGGTGCATCAATAATTTCTTTCCAGCGTTTTTTCATACTATAATACTTGTTCATTGCTTGATTTGGGGAAACAGTGCACTGTAGTGTTTCATTAAGTTGAGCACTAATGTCTTTCCACAAGGCAGTATGGTTTTTGCATTTTAAAAACTTGTCATTCTTATCATGCCTCAGATTTACCAATATATCTTCTTCTTCTGCCTTCCAAATGTATGTGCTGGAGCTATTTTCACTACATGTAATAGGGGATTCAGATCTAGACGATGCCTCTGATAGTGCCTCTGATGGTGCTGAAGTGAATGACGATGGTGGTGAAGTGTCAGATGATGTTGAATGCTGGTCATCTGACCCCTTAGGGCTGGATAGTGAACATGATGTTACTTGATTTAAAAGGCTCTGTATAACCAAGCTTTTGACCGATGGATCTGGAGGGAAAAAAGTTAATGTTAAATACAGAATGTTTTCTATGGCTGTGAAGAAATTATCACTGAACTTGATCTATTACAGAACAATTATTTTAATAAGAGGCCAACATGACACTATTACCGCTTAAAATCTAACCTTTTAGATTTATTGTTATTTACATACCAAGCCACTATCATTCCATGTACCTGTTTCCTTTGAGAGTAACATGTTGCAAACTTCTCTCTGACATTGTATCCTCCTTTCACTTCCGTCGCTGTTCGTCAAGACGAGAGTTCTCAAATCTGTAGACATTCTAATCTGAAATACAAGAAAATTGTGTTCATTCTATGTAAAAAGAAACTTTAAATAGTTTGCGTACAGTAAACACCAGTTACATTTTTATCATTTTAAAATGTAAATGCACACCTTGCTTTGTTGCACACTTCTCACATATAGTGTCTGATAATTCCTTAGTTAGAATCAGTTCCAGCTCGTAGAAAGCACACTGTGCATGGAAGCAGTCTTTACAATATGGACACCGCAAATAAATCCTGACAGAAAAGAAAGATATATGAATTTTATAATTACTTAGCATTATGAAAAAAAAACACTTAAGTTACTTTATCAATTATCATGTAAAAGATTACTGCAAATTTACTCCCAAGCTTCTTCCAAATAAGAGATTTTCAATGAAAATTCACCTCAATCATTACATGCACAAATCCGTGTATATCCTACCTGTAATTACCATCAACAAATATTTCAGTCTTCTTAGACTTTTCCTGAGACTCAAGGGAATCGAGGGAATGTAGAGGTGCCTTTCTTTTGCAGATATAACAAGTCCAGTGGGATCTGCGCTCTTCAATTCCATCTGCCATCTAAAAGTACAAGTGAAAAATAACTCATAAAATTAATGTATAATTGTACAAGGTATACTTCAGGCACCTGATTTTTTTTTTATCGATAACAGCTGAATAAGTCGGCCAATAATGCCAAAGATAAAAATTCTACACCTTTTATATATTAATGTATTAAGTAGAATTTTCTATCTATGGTTTTACTTAGCGACTAACTGATCAAAATTCAGGACTGGCCTAGGACCAATTTTACACAAGCACCAGTTCCCACCACAAGATTAATAATATTCTATTTTTTATGAAAGACGTCAATAAATAATCGATTTCTATCACTAAAAAGGAAGCACGTGTTATACACACATATCAAACCCAAAATTTACCACTTCAAATTTAAGATTTAGCATATTATATCGATGTTTTAAACTGAAAAATTGTAAGTCTCACCTTTCTCCGCCATCTTTAAACCAGCGTGACCAGAGCCTTCCCGATGGTTAAACCGCGGTTTCATTTTCCAGCGACTAAAGTGAGTTCGATCTTAATTTAGTCGAACTACGGTGACCGTGGTTTGTGATCGAACTCGCTCGTAAGCTATTCAACTGCATCAAAATTTATTTACCTTGACCTTTCCTTTGACCTTGATCTCACTTTTCTTTTAATTAGTGTTTAGCTCAGTTTTAAAGATACCATTCAAGATAATGTAATCAAACTTCATATGTTGATACATACTGTAATAAGTTTTTCAACTGTATCAACATTTTTTGACCTTGACCATTCCTTTGACCTTAATTTCACTTTTCTTAAATTAGTGTTTAACTAAGTTTTAATGAAATAATTCAAGATTTTTTTTACAAACTTCATAGGCTCATACATTCTGATGAATGCTATTCAAGTGCATCAATATTTTTACCTTGACCTTTCCCTTGACCTTACTTTTCTAAAATAAGTGTTAAGCTCGGTTTTAAAGATACCATTCAATACAGTGTTATCAAACTTCATATGTTGATACATACTGATAAGAGCTTTTTAACTGCATCAACATTTATTGACCTTGACCATTCCTTTGACCTTGACCTAACTTTTCTTCAATTAGTGTCAAACTTCATATGCTGATACAAACTGACGTAAGCTATTCAACCGCATCAATATTTTTTGACCTTGACCTTTTCCTTTGACCTTTACCTCACTTTTCTCAATTTATGTTTAACTCAGTTTTATAGAAAACATATTTTTATCAAACTCCATATTTTGATACATACTGATGTATCCTTTTCAACTGCATCAACGTTTTTTGACCTAGACCTTTCCTTTGACCTTAACTTCATTTATTTTAAATTAATGTTTAGCTCAGTTTTAAATAAACTATTCAAAATATTTTTATCAAACTTAAATATGCTGATACATATTTGTGAAAAGTATTCAACTGCATAAAAAACATTTGACCTTGAACTTTCCTGTGACCTTTAACTCACTTTTCTTAGATCTGCATTTTGCTTAATTTCAAAGAAACCATTTAAGAGATATTTATGTAAGTTTATGAACTTATACATAATTTGGTGAGAATTTATCAACTATATCCAACTTTTTAGATTTCAATTTCAATTTAAAGAAACTATTCAAGATATTCTCAGCAAATTTCATACACTAATACAGATTTTCATGATGCATTACTAATAAACCCTCGGCGGGGCATTCATGTCCTATGGACATATTTCTAGTCTATGATTTTGTTTTGTATCCCATGTAAGGTCAAGCTATGCAATCTACAAATGCAGATTTAAACTTACCGGTAGATAATTGTTTGATGATGATCATCTATTTACACCCCCCCCCCCCCCCGCAAAAAAAAAAAAAATCAACCTAAGGAAAAACAACAGCACATTCCTAAAATTTACATGTAAAGTTTGAAGGGTACAAAAATACGTTAATTTATAAAGACAAAGGCAATGCACATATACATTCATGAACTGTGCGTTCTATGAACGTCACACGTCATTTTAGCCAGCTAGAGGACACTTCTGCAAGATATTTAAATTCTTTTATAAGTTTCGTAATAAACGATAAGATCGGATGAAGCCTACATGTATCGAAAGTAATTTTAGTACTTTACAGTGAAGTGAATTTCAACCAATTTGGAACTTAAATTCGGAATAATTCACAAGCTATTAATTATAATACATATTTGACATGACGTCATTTAGGCATCGGGACATGTTTGCAGGACACGGAAGATGTTTGATTTTTTGCACGGAAGATGTTTGATTATTCGCTTTAAAAGATGTAAATACTTCTTCACTTCTCGAAAACAAGTAACTGTTTAGAGGTACTCGGTGTATGTCAAATCAAATTTGTTTATTTAATGACAATTTATTTAAATTTCACCTATAGCTATTAAAATTGCGGTATCTTAAAATTTCATTGAATGGGACATCCTAAAACACCTTTGTTTCAGTGGTTTTCCGTATCCTTTCTCTGAACAGAAGTTCTCGACAAATATGTTAAATCTACATGTGATTTTATAGAACAATCCTTTGAAATTTCGAAGAACTCTGGGGAAATTTTAAAAACTTTTTCGAGAAAAGGTATCTATTGAAGATACTTCTCTGTTACAAAGGGACAATACAGAAAACGACGTTATTCCCGAATATAATGGCCTGTTAATGTATACATGCCTTTTGATTTATGTTTATTTCTATTATATTATTACTGGAGAGAAAAATAACCCTTTATTTTCATATAAAACACTTCATTTTTATCTTCCTAACAGGACTAGAAATTTTAGTTGAAAACAGATTAAAAGTACATTTTCCTGTCGGTATCAATTCCTGACGTTACGTCTAGAATTTTGAACATCTTAGAAAGTTTACAATTTCTTAATATTTTAGATATTTGATATTTGCATCATTACAACCAAAATAGTATAAAATATATACTAATCCAGGCATCCGTCTTTTTTGTTTGCATCATTTGTCCTTAAAAGACATATCTTGGTAAAAATTGGAAAAAAAAAGATTTTTTTGAAAGGATGCTAGAGTTTGAAACTTATCTATTATCAGATAATAAGGTATTTGTTTCTACAGAAAATTTAGTACGAAATAAACCAGAATGGCAACAGAATAATTGGCCAGATCATCCTGTAGACTGGGGAGCAGCGAAGGCGGTAGACGGACAATATTCAGACCGTGGAGCTGCAGGAGGACAGTGTACAAAATCAGGTCCCAGTAAACCAACAGCAGAATGGAGAGTAGATCTAGAGATTGTGCTCAGCATCAGTCATATCGACATCTACTACAGGACGGATAATTTTCCCAGTACGTATAACAAAACTCATTTTATTAAGTATCGCTGACTTTTTTAAATAACCAAAACACTGGGGAAGTACAAATTGCTTAAGTCTATGCTTATAATGACAAGGGTAAAAGAAGTTATCCTCACTGTATGTCCATTTCTTAGCGGCTTCAATATTTATAGAATGTATGATTTACAGATGGTGTGTCAATTAAATAACTTATTCTCCTGAATATCGATTAACATGAACATTCTGTCTCATTCACACTACAGATATTGCTAGAAAATTAATAGAAAAGACAGTCTTAAGGTACTCCGATCCTCAGGTTCTGAAAATCAGCTTTTAAGTAATTGAAAATGCTCACAAAAATGTCTCTGATTTCACATAGTAACATGAATTTAGCCATGGAATTTCTTCAAAGTTCATCATTATAGTTAATCATATTATATAGGAAAATTATCAAATCTTAAATATATTTTCAGGAAATGCGAATAAAAAGACCAGCTATGCTTTTTCTAATTGAAAATTGATCAACAAATATAATTTAGGATAAAAAGAAATAGGTATCCAGGCATTTGGAGAAAATTGCTTCATTTTTATGCTTATACAGTATTTTAGTTCTTCTTTTTACTTAAATTGTCATATAATACATAGTGTAAAAAGCTTGTGTTATCATTGCTAGGCTTCATTTTGAGACTTTTCAAATAAAATTATAAATTTTAGAGTTATCCTTCCTAGCTGAGGATCGGATATCCTTAAAAGTATGCATGGCTTTTTTTGTAACCCTGTATGCGTACTAATTATAGATTTTTTAAAACTTGTTTCCTGTTGATGTCAAGGATTATTCGAGTACTAGACTTTCATTATGTTAAACAGACCATGAACTTAATTTTCGTTTAAAATTTCTTTTATAATAGTTATCTTAAATTCATTAATTCATTAATAAAATTGGATCCATCTATAATTCCTTTTTCAACAAATCAAAGTTTTCATGAGTAAAACGCATGGCTCAACCAGTTTTTCATTTTTCTTTTTTACCGTTCACGGTAGCTCAGTCGGTAGAGCGCTCGCTCCGTGATTTGGAGGTAGTGAGTTCGAATCTCTGCCGCGGCTGACCTAAATCGATAAAAAATGGGTAGGAACTGTTCCTTCGCACTGCGCTCGGCACTTTGAAGTGAAAGTTGCTGGTCCTTCGGATGAGACCTTAACATGAAGCCCATGGGTCACAACGCTCACCTGAGTAACTTTGGACTTGCTGTTTTTCACCCGATTTCCCCCCTTGTAATACCTATTGTGACCCCGTCCTTCCCAGGGATCATGATTTGAACAATTTAGAATCTACACTTTCCAAGGATGCTTCCATTTAAGTTTCAGCTTTTCTGGCCCAGTGGTTCTTGAGAAGAAGATTTTTAAATATTTTTTCTACAAATTTCAATGTAAAACTTGGCCCCCAGGGGTCATGACTTGAACAATTTAGAATATACACTACCCCAGGATGCTTCAACAGAAGTCTCATTTTTTCTGGCCAGGTGGTTCTTGAGTAGAAATTTTTTTAATGACCAATCCTTATTTTTGTCTTTTCTTTATTATCTCCCCTTGGAAAGGGGCTTGGCCCTTCGTTTTAACAATTTAAACTCCCCTTCACCCAAAAATGCTTTGTACCAAGTTTGGTTAAAACTGGCCCAGTGGTTCTTGAGAAGAAGTTGAGAATGTGAGAAGTGTACAAACAGACGGACGGACGGACGACGGACAACTGGTGATAAGAAAAGTTCACTTGAGCTTTCAGCTCAGGTGAGCTAAAAACCTGAGGGTCCGTGTCACGGCAGGTGTTGGCACGATAAAGATCCCCTCACTGCTCAATGGCCCTGAGTGTCGAGTAAAGGTCAAAATTTGAGGCCCTTCACCGGTATATGGTGACGTCTCTATATGAGTGAAAAATTCTCGAATGGGACGTAAAACAACATACAATCAATCAATTAATCAATCATTGTTCTTTTGACTGTTGATTTGTGATCGGCAAACTACAATATGCAGTTTTGACATGCTTTCAAAGATGTGAAGATGAAAAAAAATCAGTTTAATGTACTGTACTTGCATTCTGCGGTGGAACGTCAAATATGTTGTATCATAACTAAAGCCGACATCGTCAAACTTGTCGAAATCTTTAATAC